CGCATCGAAATGATGTACACGTTCCGTCGCGGCAAGTCCCACAGCGACTACTACCAGTGGATGGACGCGGGCTCGTCCTTCGACGTTCAAAGCGACCAGTTTGACGGGTCGACGTTCCGCATTGGCCGGTCCCCCGAGGCTACGCGTACGATCTTCACAACTTTTTATCGATGTCTCACCGACAAACTCTGTAGTCTTTGAGGCCTCGCGCGACAATGGCAAGCTCTGGCACGACATTAGCGTGATCCCGCCGGACGTACGTGGCAGCATGCAATGCCGAGACTCGATCTCATTTCATCGTGTAGTGCGGCAACGGTCGCTCGTGGGAAGAGTGCTCCAAGGGCGGCAAGGTCAAGGGTTTCAACGTCGCTGTAAGCGTCGAGCGCCAGGACTTGGTGCCGGTGGGCGCCTACAACTGCCCCAAGCTGCTCAACTGCCAGTGGGAAAAGTGCGCGGAGGCCTACCTGTTTCCGTTCGATGACATCCACACCAAGAGCTGCAGCAAGGACGAAGCGCTCCTTATCACGTGGTGCGCTAGCCCCAACCCCGCGACGCAGATGTAAATCCGATACGCGAGTTCTAGTCGATTGCAGACCGAGTGAAGGAGAACTCATCGTTCGGTGCGATAACCAGCCATGCATTTCAAAAAAGTTTTGTGTATCAAAAACATGTTCTGGAATCTTGTGCCGCCACGTCATCTTGAAGTGGACAGGCGGTTACGCGATTGCAGACGGCGGCGAAGAACTTTGTTCGTGCGAAGCGAACGAAGCGTCGCATTGCAAAGCTCTTGCCTCAGACTCGGGACAGATCGGCGAGCTTGTCTGCTGCTATTCGCTTGCACTCAACTAGACCACAGCCGCCGCCGTATTGCCTTGGGTGAAGCAGCGCTATCATATCAAATCCACAGGATCAAAACAGGATATCCTGTTGTTCTCTCGTATACGACCATATGAAGAGCTATCGACATATTTCGAAGGAGAGAAGGATCATACAAGCACCTCAATATTTTCACAGAAGATGGGGCTGAAACCGACGGCGACACACGTGTTGATGGCGATGGAACCGTTCTTCTGGGAGCGTCCTCGGCCATCAAATACTGAAGCTTAGTGACTCAAGCTATGGCCTTGGTGACAGAACGAGGCCATACGGCGAATGGCACATGCAGCTAGGATACGGTCGAATTCGAACAAATGCATCGAGGAGGTTGGCGCTGTCCAGATTATGTCTCACTTCTTAACCGTCCATTCGAGCCCGATGCAGCTCCTTGCCCTTGGTGCCCTCATAGTTGCGGCTGCGGCACAGACCTCCGACAACACGACCAGCTGCCCGCTGCAATTCACGAGCGCGTGCGCGTCGTCGACGCAGTGCGGCAAGCTCAACGGTTTTCAGCTCGAGTGTCAGGCGTATGGCGCGGTGAAGCAGTGTCGCTGCTCCAAGGCCGACGCCAACTGCCAGAACGCGACCAACATCCCAGATACGGTGCCCCAGTTTGGTCTGTGCACGGGCGGGAAGCAGTGTGCTGACACGGGCTTCAAAGCCCTCGATACGCCCGTGCGCGTCTGCAGCGAGCCGTTGGCGTGCGTGCCCCAGATCACGGCCGGGAACGAAGTCCAGTCGATCTGCCACACGTGCAGCAGCTGCAAGCAGCAAAACAAACCCGACTCGACCGGCAAGCTGGTCTTCAACTGCACGGCCATTTGCCCGGCGGGCCAGGGCGACCCGGTGATTACGATTGCCCCAACGACGTCGCCGACAACAGGCTCCAAGAACAAGACTGCGTCTGGCAGCAACGCCGCCGGCGACACGGGTACCAACAAGCCGTCCGGCGCATCCAAGATTTTTGCCGGCGCCGCGTCGCTCGTTTGTGTCGGGCTTTCGATGCTCTTGTAGTTAATATGTTTTGCGAGATGCGAAGTCTTTGCAACGACGAAGATAACGCGAAATACGTTCATATATATTGCGAGAGATGCTGTCAGTTGTCCATTTACCCACTTCATAATTGAACCAACGAACGTTCGTACCACAAGTGTGTTGTCCCCGTATCTGTCTCGTCCTCCTTTGTGCTCCTCATGCCGAAACATCGCAGTCCGATCTCGGCCTTTGACAAGGCATGTGCGGCTTAATATATGGTGCGGCTACGTACATGATTTGATCGGAGTGTGTATATAGAACCTAATGCTCACCTGCACCTCTACCCTCGATCGTGGAAAGATCATTCCCACACCGAACCCCCTTGTAGAGACCAAGCTAGGAGGGATCGCTGTTGTGTCCGATCTACTAGAAAGCGACCGAAATGTATTCACATTCGCCGTTGTATAAAACAATGGGGGCAGCACAGGTCGATACGAGGGGCAAACGAACAAGCTCAGCCTTTGATGCCGTAGAGGGTGCCGACACCCGCCGCATGCAATCGAAGCTGCTCGAACTCGGTCGGTCTGTGCTCTTGGAGGCACGCGACACAGTTGTAGCATTTGTCTTCGTTGGCGATGCGGACGTACTTGATGATCTTCTTGTCGCCAGCGACGTCGTAGAAGGCGTAGAGGTTGCAAACGGCGTTGTGCCAGTTGAAGAAGGTGTATTGGTTGGGCGGCAAGGAGCAATTGCACGAGCTGCACAGGACTCCGTTGGCTTCGGACGACTGGCTGGTGCCCATCTTGTCGCTGGTCTCGTAGGAAGAGTTTTTGAAAATGACTTCGAGGAAAGAACTCGATAGCGCTCCACTACATACAGTACCGTGAACGCTCCCACAGCCTGCTGTCCTTACCGGGCACTTACCCGCCTAGTGCCAACAGTACCGGCAAGGGTCAATTGGTACCGGTGAGCGCATGTCGTTTCTATACCCTTTAAATGAAGACATTGCACGTGTTTGTTGGAGCATCCAAGGTGGCGCCGATTGATTTGTAGTCGGTGAAGTACCCGAGTGCTTGCCAGAGAGCGAGATCTTCTCGTCAGCGGTTTATACACTGGTCTTACCCTCAGGTTGACCTCCACGTAGAGGTGCCTTGAGCTCTTTCTGACTCGATGGCACGTGCGTCCTTTTGCATATCAGTACATGTATGATGCTAACGTTATCTCGCATGACGAGCCTAAACTAGCTGATTGAGGCCCTGCTGAAGCAAAGAAGCTGCCTTGATGTTCTTAGAGTCTTCCGAGCAAGTTGAAGTTTTGTGCTGTTGCAGGCGATTGTTGCTCGGATCGGAATGTCGGGTGATTGTACCGATGATTTCGGGGCTGTGATTGTAATGTGATCGCAGGGTGATGGGCAATCGCCCTGCAAGCGACTCTAATCGTATGAATACCATGGGCCATAAACGATGGTGGGCAGAAGATGCGGGTCCTCAGTAGCTCGATTGCAGATCCAGATGAGCGTTCATGCGGCGCAGGACGATCGGCAACAAAAGTTTCATGTGGCTTCAAATCGGGTCGCTGGGATGTCGTTGGGTAACGACCGCGCTTAGCGGGTCGCAGTTGCAACGCGTGAGCTTGTTCGGGTGAGAAACACCTAGCAGACGACGCAGCTGCCGGCGACGGAAGCCATCAAGGCTGGCCACGTCAGGACCACGTGCCACAGGTGAGCTTCATCGGTGCGCACTCCAAGACGATCGGGAGCACGATGAGTAAAACATCCTCAGACGTGCGACATCAACTTGAGAGCTAGCGACGCAGTCGGAGGTGGCGCATCGCTGGTCATGCATGACGGTTGGCGTTGCCATTATTTTCCCACGGTTTGATTCGACCAAAACTGTGAAAACACCCTTTATTAACCAGGATGCCATTTCTGTTTTCTGCTTGGAGCAACCATCATGGACTGGAAGAAGATGTGCAAAGTGCCGCAAGCCGCGCCAGGGCACGGTGCCATGCCCGCCCACGTCGCGGCCCGACACGTCAGCAAGACACCTCTCGACATGGTGCAACGGATGGCAAGCCAAGGCATCAAAACGGTGAGCTCGTTCCCGGCCCTGGACGCGTTCAAGTTTGCCCAAGGCGGCGTCGGTAGTCGATTGGCAGCCAACGCCAAGCTCTTTTCCGCGGACACATTTTGCTCGTATGGCTTCACCGCTTCGAAAAGCGCGGCAAAAAAGTTGCTCGCGGCGTACCCCGACGCCATCCAGTGGACGATCGACATCCTCGCCGAATTCAATGTCGACTTTTTCATCACGAAAGACGTCGTGTACATACAAGGCGCAAAAACTTTACCTCGTACGGCGTCCCGACGCTTGGTAACACACTCACAGGCCAAGACGCGCTCCACCACCTCGGCATCGACCGCCTCTGCGACGCCTCAAGCAGTGCCAAATGGCCGGGCGTCAAGAGTGCGATCAAGTACGACATCGTCACCATTAAGAACCAAGAGATGGTCGTCAAGGCGCCCGGGAAGCTGGCCAAGACTATCTCGTACGGCCTCTTGATTATGTCGCTCGTCGTCGATACGGCATACTTTGTCATTGCCTATGCCGCTGCTGAGAACAAGCTTGACCCGTGCATCGACTATGGCATTCAAATTAGCGCCACGCTCGGCGGGTTTGCGGCCGCCAACGCTATCGCTGTCTACACCTCGGCCACTCTCGGGTACGGTAAGCTCGTCTCGAGCCTCGCGTCGGGCGGAGTCGGCTTCGTAATCACCGGCGTCGCCATCGGCGCGAAATTTCTCGTCCCGTTGACTTTGCAGTGGGCGCGGGGGCCACGGACTGTGTACCACTTTTCGCTCGTGGCTGAAGACATGATCGAGATGTACACGGAAGACGACGTCTTTGATGAGACGAGCAGTGTGTGCGACGTCGACGTCCTAACGGACCAATGCCTCGAGTTCAACGAGGCGGACATGTACACCCAGGACGACTACTTTTGAGCATTGTTCACGGTGAGACTCATGAATCCCTCATATATTTCTTTGTATGACTTTCAAGTCGACATCCGTTGTGCAAAAGCACTTTTTTGAGGAACCTGCCAAATTCCAGTCCCAATTCTGATTTTGGGCTGATTTTGGGCGGAACAGTCCACATACAAACGCCAAGGTATTTCGATCGACACGCCAGCTGAAACCAGCCAATCCCAACGCGTGACAGCATCTGCCGACTTTTCTTGAGCATGCTAGCGCGCTTCCTCCGGGCGACGACCAAGGCGACGGCCAAGCCGACGCGAGCCTTTGGCAACTACTCGGTGCGCGTCGTACAGCCGCGCGACGTGACCTTCTACCAGGCCCAAGGTGCGTGCGGTCATGACGCCTCAATCTCATCCTGCGTCCTAGTCGATGCGCCGCTCCATGCTCGCCTCGTCCTGACGACCGCGTGGAGCCTCATTGGCCTAGGCTCGGTCGCCGCCGCGTACCAATTCCTCACGAACCTGCACACGGTGCCCATCTCGGGGCGGACGCAAGTCGTCGTCTTCTCCAACGACGAAATCATCGTACGTGCTTCCATGGCCGTCGACGTGGTATGATCCCCATGCGCATCGTAGGCCATGGGCACAGAGCACGCCGAAGAAGCGATCAAGGGCGTCACCATCATCCAAGACGGCCCGCGCTACCGCATGGTCAAGGACGTCGCCGTGTACGCGCGTTACGATCCCTGATAAACTCGACTCGACGACGCTTTAGGCGGCTCGTCGTCGTCGCCGAAAAGATCTTCCAGACCAACTACGACTGGAAGGTGTTTCTTATCGACGACCCGAACGTCAATGCGTGCTGCTACTCGGGTACATTCGCTTCGCCGACTACATGTCGATATGCAGGACGCACTAGGTGGCATCATCTTTGTCAACACGGGCCTCCTCAACGCCATCGACAAGTTTGTCGAGGACGGTCACTGCAAGAACAAGTACAACGCGCTCGCCACCGTCGTGGGCCACGAGATTGCCCACGCCGTCGCCAAGTCTCTCGTCCTCTCTCTCATCGCAAGCGTCCCACCGTCGTTTTGCTAGGCACACCCCCGAGACGCTGAGCTTCCTCCCGCTCCTCATTCTGGTCGCGCTCTTTGGCCTTGACAACAAGTTTGTCCCGACGCTCTTCGAGTACGCCCTCCAGCTGCCGTTCAGCCGCATGCACGAGAGCGAGGCCGACCACATTGGGCTCATGCTCATGGCCGCCGCCTGCTACGACCCGACCGAGGTACACTTGCGTTGATCGGACAAGGCGCGGAGTCGCATCTAGGCGGCATCTGTCTGGCGCGGCATGAAGGCGCTCAAGGGCGAGAACGGTGACGTGCCCGAGTTCATGTCGACGCACCCGGCGGACGAGCGCCGCGAGCAGAACCTGCGCGACTGGGTCGACCAGGCAGTTGCGTACCAAAAGACAGCGAGCTGGTGCTCCGACATGCAAGACCGCGTGTCCGAAATCATCTTTCAACGCGTGCGCCAGCGCCAGGCGACCGTCAACACGACGCATGCGGCCGAGATGAAGGCCATCTTGGACAAGATGCAAACCGAGCAGCAGTAGCATTACCATACACGCTGCATCTCGTTTCATCGTCGTGACGGAGTCGTGTTACATTAGTTGGTCCATTGACCAGTCTCCATGTACTTGTACACGGAGCTTTGGGTGCTCACGGGCTTGACCTTTTCCTGGAACTTGCCGACGCGGATCTCCTTGAGAAGCACGTCGGACGCCTCTTTGAAGGCCTTCTCGAGTGTCTCGACCATGTCTGTGTGCGCGAGCTTCTGGCCCTCGAGCTCTTCCCACGTCCAGCTGGCCTTGCGCTTGAGCGGGTTCACGCGCTCGGACGCAAGGAGCTCTTCGTCTGCCTTTTCCATCTCCGGGTCTTCACGTGTCCGGAGCAAGAGCGGGATGTCGGCGGGGTTGGGCGTCGACATGCGGGGCATGCACACAAAGTGGTGCATGCTCTCGGGCAGCTCCTCGTCGTCCTTGAGCGTCATGATGTTTTCGAGCTGCTTGGAGATGACCTGGAACTGGCTTAAAAAGTACGGCCATTGCGTCAGCGGGTACCACGCGAGGCGCGACTCGAGCTGCGTGATCGTATGGCGGAGGTGGTCGGCGCGGCTACGGATCGACTGCAGCGCGCGGTCCTTCTCGCTGTTGGCGTTCGACATGCCAGCCGCAAAAATATATAATAAAAATAAACGTATGCCACAAACAAACCACCGTCTGGGTGTTGTTTGTGGCATCCATGCCGAATTTACAAATACATGCCGAAAACAAACACGGCGAGCTTGAAGGGGCGGCGCCGCTTCATGATTACCAAGATGCACTTGGCTCAATTACTTAAGGTCAAAATGAAAGCTAAGGAGCAACA